CTACTATATATATATATATATATATATATATATATATATATATATTTCGATCGATTTTTTCCCTCACCACCGAAACAACAACCATTAAGCAAGCTAAATCTCGACGCGTATCAACGGGCTCGAAAGAAATTAGAATTGTTAGAACGTTTTAGCCGGCGTTAAGGCAGGGCGGACGATAAGAATTATCTCACCGACCCCGGTGTTACCTGAAACGCAGAGAGGAAGAGAGAGAGAGAGAGAGGGGGAGGAGGAGGAGAGGGGAGAGAAAAGCGCGCTTAACTTCCACGAATGTTTTACCAAACGAGCTGCCATAATCCTGGTTAAATATCCAGCTGTATCCTATTCCCGAATCCGGGGGAATCCCCTCCGCTTCCAGTTGACTTTTCCCGACCCTCGACCGGAATGGAATCCGCGATATGCATAAAAATGTCATTCAACCGGCCGAATATTCAAAACTCTCTTCCACTCCGTATGAATGGCCGTTCTCATCGCGAGATGAAATTATATATCTCGGCTACCCACTTTATCATCTCTCTTTAACTTGAATATTAAAATTTATTTCGACGAATAATAGTTCGAGGTTTGGCCCCCTAAGTTTTTTTTTTTTTTGCCTCTGCAATTCTCTATTCACGGGTGGGGTGGAATATTTTTTTTTTTCAACGGCTCGAGCGTTTCGATCTGTTTGTGTGATTTCGAAAATTTTGGAAATCGATTCAGAAGGGGAGAGGGTGAGAGAAGAAAGAGACAGAGTAGTCGTGATGGGGAAGAGTGATGATAAACGGGATAAGTGGAGTGAATCAATGTTGGCCGGACGAGTAGTTATGGCCGAGCAAGTAGTATAATCCGGGCCTGGAGAGGCAAGTAAAATAAGATAGTTACGGTCGGACAGCAGTGGATTAAATCGTGGGTAGACAAGCAAGACAGAGTTTATAATTGGACGAATGGAACGAAGCGTATCTCACGATCGGATAAATGGGACGAAACGGATACGAAAAAAAGGGAGAGGAGGATGGCCAGACAAGTGGAATAAGCCATTCCTTGGAAGAGACAAGTGGAATAAAAGTAATTCGAAGTTGATCAAACATTGATAACAGCGTTAAATGGGTCGATTATTTTCTACGGAGACGAAGAATATTTTACGCTTTTGGGCTGCACTTTGATCTATTTGATCTAATTTTTCGTACGTATATTTAGAGAAGTTAAGGTTTATCGACTTCTTAAACGCGAGAATTTATCAAGCTTCTATCTGCAACTTTGGATTTTGATCCTTGACTCTTAAATTAATGCCATTGCATAATAAATGTCGACGAAAATGATTGACAGGTGTAAAATTAATATTAGACGAGGGAAATTTCATCGAGTTTCACGTTTCAAATTTATAACCAAATATTTGACAATTATTTCATTGAGAATGAAACATTAAGTCTCGACTCGAATTGTAATTCAAGTAAATTTAAGAAATATCCAGAATTTCTTCTTTCTCTTTAAGTATTAAAACTTTAGATAGAACCAAATTTATTCCACTAAAAATATAAAAATCTCATTCAAAAAGAAACCCAGATCAAACTCATCGATTATCGAATTTTTAAAATCCCTACACCTTTAATACTCTATCACTATGGAATCGATAATTCATCAAAGATCAACATCTTTTTACGTTCGAAATCCATCACGATTCAAAAAATAAATAATAAAAAAAAAAAGAATCCGACATCAACTTAGAACACTTAAAATAATCGGACCGATTGCAGAAGCAGAATCGACGCAATGGTCAAACGAAATCAACACGAACGCACGTATCACCGTCGCGTGTGACGCGTATCATCCTTCCTCCAGTCATTCGATTCGAAATCGTGGAAAGTTTCTCCTCCTGGACGGTGGAGATCGTGGGTCTACAAACGAGGGTATGCGGAAGTCGGGTATCGATGTCATCTGCAAGCACGGTTGAAGGGTGATGCCGGCCTCCCTATATCGCGTTGCGAATTGTTCTTCGAACTAACCGCGGCGGCTGCATCTGTAACCGGCAGCCACGGTAATGGAATATGACAACGTGAGCTGCATAATGATCAGCCGCTTCCCTGCCTCCCAACTTTCTAATAAAACGACCATTGTCGGTGACGTTTGTCCCGTTACGGTTATGCACGGCCATGAAACGACAACGGTCCACAGACGACGACACCGACGAGTGACCGAGCGAAGGGTTGTTGCTGCGCTTATACGTGTATGTGTGTATATATATATATATATATATTAAGTCGGTATTAAGGTGTGAAACAATGGAGAGACCGGGGATTAACCGAGGAGAACTTAGAAATAATATCCTATT